TCGAAAACCAACATTTCACGGGAGGGTGGAGGGGAGATGCATGTATGCGGAGGCTTGACATTTTTATCCAACTCGTAAAATCACGCGTTCTCGGTAGCATCGAGGAGGGCTTCTCAGGACCGAAAAGAACTGAGGATTCGAATGGTCTCTGGAAAAGTACGTCGCAGAACTGATTCGGACTTACCAGGTCCATCTAGGTCTGGAGAGATCTTGAAAGACCTGTGTACGTCCAATCAGAACCAAATCCTCGACTCGGGACATCCCCTTGTGTTTGTTATTACGACCAAGTGACCTTGGGTGAGATCATTCTCATCAAGACGGACGTAATAAACAGTGTTCGCCTTTGGGGTAGCGATAACTTGTTTTCTTTGGGCTTCTGATCACTTCCCTCGCCAACATTCAATCTAGACTTATGTGATAGCAGTCAGTGACGAAAAATGATTGATTTTCATTCTAAACGTCTTTCCCTAAGGAATTGAATTTCTTTTACGATTCTGGTGAGAGGAGTTTTCTAATGCGCATTTCGGAATGAGAAGAAGTTGATTCTTTAGTCCGCAATCGTGAGCGATTCCAAATACCTCCATTAATTCGCCTACTCAACTTATTTCATGAGGCAAAGAAAGCCAGTATCGCGTTGCCAATTCAGAGCCTCCAGATGATAACTTCAACTATTCTTCCCCCTCTAATTTCGATTCGGCTGTCATAATAGTGATACTACTGGAGCGAGGGGAAGATTGAGCGGAGTTTTCAATATCGAGATCGATCACTTTCCAAGTTGCTACAACTCTCCTGTGAGGTGACGAGCATGCCAAGCTTATCAATCAGGATTCTTTTGCCCTACTTCGACCGATTTTTGCTTCTGAATGGAAGCCTTGTTTCTTTATTAAACTATCGTCCTTGAATTGAAAATAATTTCTTTAATCCAAGAATAATTCATCCTATTTAAAAAAATCGATCAGATTCGACGTTGCAAGTGTAGAGACATGGACAAACGAGTGGAAGATTGCTCTTGTATTCAATATAGTATAGTGATTTTTGCTAATAAATTATCAATATGCTTCCGAATGGTTATTTTGAACATCATTTCCTTCTATAATGTATAATTCACTATTTATTTAACCCCTCAAAGACGGGGTCGATATACGTATATGGACCCAAGCAAAAACGCATGATTCTGTTCAAAACTAGATAATTCCAAAACTGTGACAGATAATCCAATTCCGCCAACGCCATTCGAAAGCTGGATAGTGTAGCTTCAATTTCTAATGTTTTTTATAATTTTTGCTGCATCAAATTTTATCGAATCTCAGTGATTTTAAGCGCACGTCGGGCTTCGTAACAGAAAGGCCCCGTACGCGAGGGGTTAATGGTATTAAATTGAATAAGATTTCTTTTTAACTAATTTTATCAGAGTTCCAACTTAGTTGAGTGGTATCATGATCAATATTCTTATTATCCCTTTCTTCTTTACAACCAATTGTCTCTTTTACAGTTCTATCTCTCCCCTCAGCCCTTCGATAAAGTGTTAATAGAAAAATGTTATTTACACATAATTGAATGAATTTGAAACATCACATTTGAAGGAACCATCAGAGAGCTCACTTTCAGGAAAATTCATGAAAAATTCGGAATTTTTAACAATCATCCCAAAAATCAAATCAATCAATATAGCTATCGTAATCATCTTTCAACTTTGACTTAATGGCATTGAAACAACCATTTTAAACTATGATTAATACCATTTGAAGCAGGATATCAAAAGATATCCCGGGAATTCTAATTTTCAAAAAATACAGAATCTTTGCAAATTTTGAAATAAATTAAAATAACAATTATTGCTATCCCCTTCATCTTCAAAGTCGGTTAAAAGGACATCCAAACAATTTTTTGAAGTCATTAATCAGTCAATTCAGAAAT